TGAACACAGTATATATATATATGTATATATATGTGTTGTAAATTTTACTGCCATATATGTATATATGTATATATATATATATGCATATATGGCAGTAAAACTTATATCACATCACTGCTACAGCCGAGCGTCTGCAGAGAGAAACTAAATCTCACTCTGAAGCAGGCGGTCCACAGCAGCAGATGGTCATGTTGTACTGACTTGAGCAGCAGCAGTAAGTTTTCCCTCCATTATATTATTGTTATCATCATTATATCCATCTGCACGAGCGTGTCTAAGTGTGCCCTTTGGGCGTCCGTCCGTCTACGGTTTTTATTTTGCCTGGCATTTCACGTAATGTGATGTTTATCAGATGCTGCCGCTGACGTTGTTACATCACATCACAATAATACGTGGCTTTTCACGAAGCTGCTCGACTCCAACACAGTCATGAGACGAACTGAACACAGGCTTGGGCTACGAAAAGAAAAAAAAAAGATCAGAAAATGACACACAAACATGTTATATGTGAGGGTCAGAGTTTGGCTTTAACAGTGAACAGAACAGGCACTTCCTGTCTGAAGGTTTGACAAACATGAACATGACAAGGAGTTCATGAAGAAAGCACTTTTGCAGAGTGATGGAAGGAGGACGTGGATCAAATATGATATGAAGTCTCAGGTCAACAGGGATGAAAAGCTCTCTCTCTCTATATATTTTTATTTTCTTTTTTTTAAAAAAGAAAATAAAAAATAATTTTAAATGAACAAAAAGTCAAACCCTGTTGTTCCAGCTCCAAATGAACTAAACACAGGAAGTGTTTGAAACACACCGTCTGTCTCTGCTGTTTTTTCTTTCTTTTGAAAAACAAGAGACAATAGGGGGCAGCACTGGACCCTTAAAAGCTGCCCTCGTAGCCCCCAGAAGAAACAGGCAGTGGGCTGTTTTTCGAATCAGCTCAGTCAGAGTGTCTGGTCACGGTAAGGAAAAAAACATCACGTTTTTTGTTTTTTACTTCAATTATACTTCATAATGGCCATCATCATTTTTTTTTTTACTCCTGAAAAGTGGAGCCTGTCAACCAGCCATATCATTAAAGCAGCTGTTGGTGATTCACCGCCGCCTCACAAACGTCGGTTTTGAAGTGTAATTTTACATCCAACAAAACAGAATATTAAAAAAAAAAAAAAGTTCCTGTGAAAAATGGCACAGGATTAGATTTG